AACACATCAAGGCCTTCTCCACTTTAGGGCTCTTTCATTTGACTCTCCTTTGCCTGGAATGTTCTTCCTCTTGTTTAACTCATGTCTGGCTTCTCAACTTTTAGGTTTCAGCTCAAAAACTACATTGCAGAGAGACCTTCCTTAATGAATTTATCTAAAGGAATCCTCATTCCACTCCAGCCTCACAAAATGCTCACACCCTTGTTCATTAATTATTCCTGTATAGCACATAACCCAATTTGAAAGTACTTTCGTTAAATACTTACTCAAGATTTGTTCCCTTTGATGAGAATGTAAGCATTTAGAAAGCAGGGCTTTTGTCTTGTCCCTGAAGGTATTTTCATAAACTATCATGGTGTCTGGCACAGAGTTGGACAAAATAAATATTTTCTGAATAAGAAAATGAGTAAAATAAAGAATTTAGGCATGGCTGAAATACTGGACCTATGTGCATTTTCTTGAATAGGGAGATGGTAAGTTATAAAACTGATGGAAGTTCTGTTTGTCTGCATGATTGCAGACAAGAGGAAGTGAGTGACGTCAGAAAAATGAGCCAATTCCTGAAGTTCTTGAATGTCCTGGAATCTCTTCTGTGGTCCATGGACAGCTGCTGAAAACTTTTGAATAGTCAGTGTGTGCTTTAGAAATTCTTCATTTATGACTTGCTATGGAAAAGTCTTTGTGTGTCAGAAGAGCCTCATTCACTCACCAGTTCAAAGACAGTGTAACTTCTGGATGTCAGCAGGGTGTTGATTTAGTCAGTGTTCATTTCTTTTTCCATGCAGCATGACTGCCACGTTCAGTTGTGCTTCTGGGCTGGCAGGAGAAAATGTTTGCCTTAGTTCTTCACAGCCTGAGATGAAGTGACCCGATGCTTCTTGAAGACATTTGTTTCCCAGTAGTTCTCACATCTCAGTGGGGGAGTAGCTTTCAATACCATCTTCTTGGCAAATCATTTCTCTTTCCTCAATTGTTCTTTATTATACAATTTATTTTTCTGATGCGCAGAGTTACCCTCAGAGTTATCCTCTCCCATGGTTTGTTTTAATTAGATCTTAAAGGAAGTCCAGTTTGGAACTTTTAAATGCGGTTTACTCTTGGTTTGTTTCAGTGAAGGAGCTGGTAGATCCTTTCATAGCTGAAACCTAGTGCTGACAAGGTCTTATAAATATCTTTATCCAATAAAATGACATTATATGTAGCATACACATGTTCATGTGGACTTTTCCTACCACTTCAGATATGTGTATTTAATTTCTAATATGTAGGACAAAGATATCAAGCTTCCAGTTAAAACAGTGGTCTATTTTATGGATTCTGGCAGCCAATTCCAGTTTCCTGAACTAGTTCATAATAATTTAAATTGACCAGAGCCAATTCATGAAGTTTTATGGTTCAATCTTAAGTCATGGAATCTTTTTTATATTTATATTGAGGAAGATGCTATTATGTTCAATCTTGGGTATAAAGGGGGAAAGCTCCAAAATAAGCAAAAAACCACTATGGTCAAATTTGATAAAAGAAACTTATGTGTCAACATTGAATGGGAGTTTTAAAAAACTACTGAATCATATTCATTTATGATAACCACACTGTAAACCCTGAATGCAAATGATGACTAGAGCTTTTTTTATTAAATGTGCTTACTTTTAGTACCTTGCAAGTTGTGAAGCACGTTCACATGTAATATGCCTTTTGATTTATTATAAAAGATTTACTTCTTACAAGTTTTTTCTCTTTTCCTATTCATATCATAGACATCATCTCTATGTTAAGTAGGTGAAAAATAAAAACATAAATAAATCTTATGATTCCTATCCACAGAAAATTCTCCTGGAAGAAGCAAATACACTCAGAAATATATAGTTTAAGGCACAGTATGGTGTCAATAAAGAAATAAGGATAAGATAACATTGTGCTTAATTATAGCTTTAGGGCTGGAAAAGTGTCTCTTAGAGAAGGCAGGATTTAAGCTTGACCTTATAGAACATGATCAATTTCAGTAATAAAAGACAGAAGGACAAAGTTCTCTTGGTCAATGGAATAAACTGAGCCAAGGCGTAAAAGAAAGAAAATGAAGGACATAAATATCTATATGTGTTCTATCAACTTTAATGTCTAGTGTTACAGAACCAGAGTATGCAGTGCTAATCTGTTTTACTTATAACTTACAGTTTGGCTGTTTCCTGGAGACAGATTTCACCAACCAGAAGTACCTACTGTATCTTTATAAGTTATGTATTCATGGGAGCTGTAAAACTCTTCTCTTCATTAATAGGAGTGTATTCACAGGCTTGAAACAAATAGATCATTTATAAATTGTATGCTATTATTTCTTATTTCTTATAGTGCTTTAGTGATTTCTGAAGCACAATCATGTATATTAGACAATTAAATCCTTCCAAAATCCAGTGTAGTAGAGGGTGGTATGCAGTTATTATGAGCATTCTTTTCTTTAGGGAAAACTGAAATACAAATGTTTAAATGACCTTTTTCATGTTCCCATGGCCAATAAGTGTGGACCCACACACAATTTAGAACTCATTCTTTTTCCTCTATACCTATATAACTATCACAATAGAGATGTTTACATAGTTCATATCACTATTGAGTGTGTGAGGAATTAAAAATAATAAAATAGAAAAAGAAACCAGACCCAAAATTAGTGGGTTAGGACAAAGGGAAAAGTGGTTGAGAGAGCTGATTTCAGGCAGATGTAATGGATGGAAAGTCATTAGCTAAGAATATATAAATTCAGTTTAAAAGGAGAAATGTTTTCTATTCCTAAACAAAGTTAAGGATATCAGGACTTAAAGTAGGGCAGTTTATGTTTTTTGTGGTGAGAACTGACTCTATATACATCACAGGACTACAATACTGGGGACTCATGTGCCAATTACTTCTATTTTTTAATGGTTGAGTAGCTAGATTGTCAAAAGCAGACACGGTTGATTCTTTTATGCCATTCTATAATTTTATATTTACTTGTTCAATAACAAAAAATTTTCATGTCTTCACACTTGAAAATATTTTTATTTCACCATGAAAAAGACTACATATAAATATCCTTTGTTCTGATATGAGGTAAATGGATCTGTCTATAGAAATTATCCATGACTAAAGTATATGTCAAACTGTATTAAACTTAGTAAATTAATTTTATTTTATTAAAAATACATCCTAGCGGCCAGGCTTGGTGGCTCAGCCTATAATCCCGTGCCTTTGGGAGGCTGAGGTGAGTGGATTGCCTGAGCCCGAGAGTTCGAGACCCGTCTGGGCAGGCGAGACCTCATCTCTACAATAAATCAAAAAATTAGCCGGGCGTGGTCGCACACGCCTGTAGTTCCAGCTACTTGGAAGGCTGAGGCAGAAGAATCACCGGAGCCCAGCAGGTCGAGGCTGCGGTGGCCGGGAGCGGCCACTGCACTCCAGTCTGGGTGACAGAGTGAGATTCCAACTCAAAAAAAAAAAAAATACATCATAGTTTGTTACATAGACAGCAGTATATTAAGTGGTTTAAGAGGAGGTTGGCAGTGTCTGTGTAGTGGTTATTAAAAATTCTTTCTTTCATATTAATGGGACTCAAAGTTTATAGGTTTTAAATCAAATATCTCAATCAATGCTATATAATAGAACATTTTATGTACTGCATTTAGCATCTTTTAAGCACTGAAATAAGTTAACCTTTTAACTTTTAAAAAAAGATTTGCTTTGTTTTTAATTGATGCATAATAATTATATATGTTTATAGGGTACAGTGTGAGGTTTCCATACAGGTATACATTGTATGATTAAATGAGGGTAATCAGCAAATGTATCACCTAAAAAATGTATCATTTCTATGTGGTTAAATCATCAAAAGTACTCTACTAGCTATGTTGAAATATGCAACACATTTTTGTTAATTATTGACACTGTACTGTGCAATAGAACACCAGAACTTATTCCTCCTGTCAACTGTAACTTTGTACTCTTTGACCTACCTCTCCATCCCTCCCTCCCCCTAGTCTTCCCAGTTTCTGGTAATCACTCTTCTGCTCTCTACTTCTACAAGAGCAACTTTTTTAGATTCTATGTAAGAGTGGGATCGTATGGTATTTTTCTTTTTGTATCTGGATTATTTCACTTAACATAATGTCCTTCAAGTTCATCTACATTGTCGCAAATGACAGAATTTTATTATTTTTTATGGCTGAATTGTATAAATATACCACATTTTAAAAAATCTATTCATCTTTGATGGACACAGGTTGATTTCATAATCTTAGTTATTGTGAATAATGCTGCAATAAATATGAAAGTACAGGCATCTCCTCAACCTACTAACTTCATTTTCTTTTGATATATACTCAGTAAAGGGATTGCTGGATCAGATGGTAATTCTATTTTTCATTTGGGGGAACCTCCGTACTGTCTTTCATGACTGCACTAATTTGCATTCTAACCAACAGTGTATAAGGGTAGCTTTTACTCCACAGCCTTTCCAGCTCTTGTTATCTTTTGCCTTTTTGCTAATAGCCATTCTAATTGGATCTAGGTTGTATTTCATTGCAGGTTTGATTTATATTTCCCTGATGATTAGTGATGTGGAGTATTTTTTCATATAACCGATAGTTAATTGTATATCTTTTTTTCAGAAATGTCTCTCAGGTCTTTTGCCCATTTTAAAATTCATATTTTCATGCTATTGAGTTGTTTAGGTTTCTTATATATTCTGAATATTAACTCCTGGTTAATGTGTAGCTTGCAAATATTTTTTCCATTCTCTAGGTTGTCTCTTCACTTTTTAGTTTGATATAATCTCATTTGTCTCTTTTTGTTTTTATTATTTGTGCTATTGCCTATTCTTATCCAAAAATTTCTAGATCCCTAATTTTAATTTTCTGCATGTTGTCTTGCCACTTTCAACCTGTGATTCCTTGGACTGATCCCTTTATTTCTCTGAGCCTGGTTTAGCAGTATTTGCTTTCATTTGGTTCTTTTTTATTTTTTCTGTACAGCTTAACCAGCTGGAAAAAGCAGTGGAAGCAGCTCACACATTTTTCATGGCCAACCCTGAGCACATGGAAATGCAGCAGAATATCGAGAATTACAGACTGATGGCTGGTGTTGAAGCATTTCAGCTGGTAGATCGAGAAGCCAAACCACACATGGTGAGCTCTGGGGACCCACAGGGAGCCAAGTGCTTCTAAATGTCATTTGACTCAAAGCAATTCATATCAATGGACATCTCAAATTGATTCTCAATTTCCAGTTACATTTTTATACTATTAGAGTTCTCAGATGAAATATTATAATTCTCAGACTAAAAATTAAGAGAAAACATTATAAAAATTTAATACAATTTTAAAAGTTAAAATTAAGAAATTAAAAATTATAAAATCAATGGAAAATAAAAATTACCTTAGAAAATCAGTATAATACGGCATAAACTGGGACATCATATAAATACCGGTAATCCTCTCTGAGCCTCAGCTCCTTTCCAACACTTTTATTTTACACCTAGGAGTGGAAACCAGTGTGAATTTTTCAGGATTACATGCTGGTTTTCCAGCTTCCAGTCCAGTGGTTTGCCCATTGTACCTGTATTTTTCAAGTCAGGTTTTTTAAAAGCAACATAATTCTTTGTTTAGATGAAATGTTACTTGAAATCACATGCTGAAAAGGCATGTGATTTTAGTTTTTGACATCACCATTCTTAGGCTGTGACCTCCAAAATCACTCCAAAAAATGATGAAAGGAAGACTTTAGATGGAAGACTTTTTTCTTCTTCTTGATTTTAATTGGGCAAGGTCTGCAGGTGGATGTCACTTCTACATACCTCTGTTGTCCTGAATTTATCGCATGGCCCTATCCACAGGCAAAAAATTTTAGAAAATACAGTCTTCTGTGTACGAGGAAGTTAATGAAGTGAAATGGTCCCATAGCGGTCATAGCTCAGTAAGTTCCCTCTAACTTACATTTATTTGAAGCCAAGAAATTTGTACTTTATCTCCTGGTGCAACCCTTCTCTATCCTTCCACAGTACAAGAGTCCAGTACCCGACCTTCCTAAATTATCCTGGGTCTGCCTGCATCTTGCTCTTTGAAAATGTTTTTGTAGCCGCCTCGGTGGCTCAGCCTGTAATCCCGCGGCTTTGGGAGGCTGAGGTGAGTGGATTGCCTGAGCCCGCGGGTTCGAGACCCGCCAGGGCAGGCGAGACCTCATCTCTACAATAAAATCAAAAAAATTAGCCGGGCGTGGTAGCGCGCGCCTGTAATTCCGGCTACTCGGAAGGCTGAGGCGGAAGGATCGCCGGAGCCCAGCAGGTGGAGGCTGCGGTGGCCGGGAGCGGCCACGGCACTCCAGTCTGGGCGGCAGAGTGAGACTCCAACTCAAAAAAAAAAAAGAAAAGAAAATGTTTTTGTATTTGTTTCTGCTTCTTCGCAGGAGAGTTACAATGCAGGAGTTAAACATTATGAGGCTGATGACTTTGAGGTGGCTATCAAGTACTTTGAACAAGCTTTAAGAGAATATTTCAATGAAGATATGGAATGCCGAACCTTATGTGAGGGGCCTCAGAGATTTGAAGAGTATGAGTATCTAGGGAATAAAGCTGGTCTCTATGAAGCCATTGCAGGTAAAGCTTGTTTTCTTATTTTATTTATTTCCTGATTATAAAGATACTACATGCAATTTGTAAAACTATTTCAACAATATAGAAACATATGCTGTAAAAATGAAAGATCCTCACATGTCTGCTCATCCTATCTCATGTATTGCATTTATGTAGTTAAAAAGTTTGTGACTGTCCTCCCAAATATTTTCAGATTCATATGAAAATATTCATGCATTTATTTATCATTATTATTTCATTTTTTAATAAAATAGGATAATATTGTACATACTGATTTTCAACTTTTCTGTTGTTTCATTTTATGCTTAACAATATATTGTGGACTTCTTCTCATGTAAGTATATGTAGACCCACCTTATTGTATTTAATGACTGGGTCCTGTTCTGTTATATGAGTACATCATGATTTATTTGACCACTCCTTTACTGATGAAGACTAAAGAGGTTGCAATTTTTTTATTATTACAAACAATGTAGTAGTGAACACTTTTGTGTTGTCTACTTCAATTACTTTTAAAAGCGCTTTATTAACCCGGGCTCGGTGGCTCAGCCTGTAATCCCGTGCCTTTGGGAGGCTGAGGTGAGTGGATTGCCTGAGCCCGCGGGTTCGAGACCCGCCTGGGCAACTTGGCGAGACCTCATCTCTACAATAAATCAAAAATTAGCCGGGCATGGTAGCGCACGCCTGTAATTCCGGCTACTCGGAAGGCTGAGGTGGAAGGATCGCTGGATCCCAGCAGGCCGAGGCTGCGGTGGCCGGGAGCGGCCACTGCACTCCAGTCTGGGCGACAGAGTGAGACTCCAACTCAACAAATAATAAAAAATAAATAAATAAATAAAAGTGGTTTATTATATAGTAGAAATTTAATATATTACAAGGTGGCATTTAAAGTAGTAGGTAATGTACATTATACAGTAATTGGGGAGATTGGCTAGTTAACTATTTATGAGGGAAAATTGAGTACTCCATTGTACACCTTACACTAAAATAAATTGTATTTCTATTAGCAATATAAGTGTAAAAAATAAGACTGTTAGAAGAAAACACAGGAGAATATTTGTGTAATAGTAGGAGAGGAAAAACTCACAAGCATGAAAAAAGACAAGGAAGGAAAACATAGACTTTACGTAAGGGTTATCAATACAGATCAAAACAGTAAACTAATCTGATCTACAAATGATAAATAGAAAATATTGCAAAATATTTTGTAGAAAAAGTTGTTGAAATATTGTTGATATTTAAAGGGATCCTGTAAATTAGTAGTAGTAGTAGTAGTTTACTTCTTTATTAATGGTAATAATACCCAACACATATGTAACAATTTTAACATACAGAGCACTTTGCATATTTATCTCCTTTAGTGCTCTAAACAACTCTTTGTAGGGAGTTACTTTGTTATTTACTTTCCTTTTTCTTTTTTAAATGAGAAATTTTTATCTCAGTAAGATTAAGTACTGTGACTAAATGAAGCTAGGATTCAAATTTAGGTTTTTCTGAATCTAAACCTATACTTTGAGGATCCATATAATTGAAAAATTAGGAGAGGGTAATTTGTTCAATCAAAATTTTTTACAGGTATTTGTTGAGCACCTACTATGTTCCAAGTTATACATATATGAAAGCCAATGCTTAACTTCATGTACTTATGCAAATGCAATGTAATGAAGTCATTTTGCTCTCCTTAACTTTCAGTGCTTTCTGTCTCTCTAAAAAGCTCAAAGTAAATTAGCTCTAACCAAATCCCAGGAAGTTATCTTTCAACTCAACATCTTCCTCAGTTTTCTATTCTCATCTGATTTGTCACCAAACTTTGATAGATGCTGCCTTCTAATAGAATTTAAGACTTTCCAGCTCTTTCCTCTTTTGCTATTACCCTGGCTCAAAGCAATAGCCATAGCCTCCTTGCTGCTTCTCATTCCTGCTTAGGTTTTGTTCTAAACACAGACAAAACAGTCTCTAAAAAACAAAATTTTGCTCACAGGCCTGCTTAAAACACCCCAATGGCCTACATTCTACCTGAAATAAAACTGAAGCCTTCATGACTGAACACTTGTGTATGTTTTCATTCTCTCTCTCTCTGTCTCTCTGTCTCTCTGTCTCTCTCTCTCTCTCTCTCTCTCTCTCTCTCTCTCTGTCTCCGTCCCTCTCTGGCTCTCTGATTATTCCTACTACACTTCTTTTAATTTCTGAAATATGCCATGCTTATTTGCACTTGCAGACCTTCAAATGTTGTTTTCCTCTATTACTTGGCTAAAGCCTTATCTTGTTCAGAGTTCAGTCTTCAGGGACTAATTTCAGTGACTGGCAAATAGTAAGTGCTTAGTAAATACTGGTTAAATGAATGAGTTGAATGGAAGAATGAGTGAAGATGACATACCCATCAGTCGCATTACAAAAATATGAGTTAATAATACTTTGTATTTGTGAGAATGTAAGTTACAAATTGTTATGGTTTTTAAAAGAGATAATTAGGGAATAGCTTTTAAAATTTAGATTAGGAAGTAGACAGGAAAATAATATGTCAAATGACCAATTTCTGACAAACCCAGTTACCCAAAATCAACTCAATTTACCTTATATCAATACAGCTATCTAAGTTATTGAGACCTTTGTTCCCCAAAAGTTTTATTTCCCTGAGTCTCTGCCAGATTCATTTGCCTGAATTTTTTAAAGTCGGTTTTATGTGTGCTTTACATTTTAATTTCTGAGTATTTCTCTATACTTAAATCTTTTGTTTGGGAATGAGTAGACTTTTCCTTTATAGACTTTTCCTTAAATAGTTAATTATTTGTGGTTTTGTGAAGAGATGCACACTGCCTTCACCTTCACATTTGCCTCTATACCTGCTTCTACCAATGGCCACGGAACAATTTTGGCAAATGTCCTAGATCTGGCTGAGGAGAATTGATTGATTTTCTCACAAATTAGCATTCAATGATTTGTTCAAGGTCACCCCATCACGCTGGTTGCTGGAAAAGAATAGAGGGCTTAACTCAGGCACGTTAATATTTAAGACAATTGCCATCTACACTACAACTTTCAATAAAGAAAAGAGGTTTTTTAAAAAAGTCATAATCCCTCAAGTTCAGACCAAATATTATCAGTTACAGAAATGTGGTAAATCTTCTCGGGAATTTGAAGAATATGCAACTTACTATGAAGAGGAAAATTTAAAAGTGTTTTCTCACAATTAAAAACATATTAACTGCCCAGTGGCATTTGGGATAGAAAGGAGGCAAAAGATACAGCTAATAAAACTAATATGACAATGCTCACTATGTACATCCTTGTCTGATTCAAAATTGTACTAATTAGGAGTAAAACTGGCTTTAAAGTTACATAATGTACTAGAAAGCCAGAATATTTTAATTTTAGAGTTAGGAAACATACTGGCAGTTGGAAAAAACTACAATTGGCTCTTGAATGCAGTTATTTATTACTAGCCATGCTTGATGAAACCCTAAACGATATCATTTTGTAACCGTTATTTTGCTGCTATTTATATCCTGCTTTGAAAAATATTTTCAACCAGATTTTGAGTTTTTGGTGAGTGTGTCTTACCTTTTCCTTTTGCTTGTCATTTGGAATTAGAAAGAGCGTGTATTAGAAGGTAAGGAGGAATTCAAATGGTAAGTCAAGTAGGAGAAAACAGAGGTTGTTTCTTGTTGTTTTTGCAAGAAATAAATTTATTTCTAACATGCTAATCAAATAAATAGAACTCATTCTTCCCTTTACATCCCCCAATTGGGGTTAATAACCAATGGACATTAGGAATTCTGTTAGCTGTGCTATAAAGGATTAAGTTAGCCACTTTATGCAAAACTGGCACATTTTCCCCTGCACCAGAAAATGCACATTTCCTTCCTGTTGTGTTTTGGGGTCCCTCTGCAAGATCATCAAGATCCAAACCAAACTCTGACTAAACAGAGAACCTTTTGAAAAAAGGCAGTTGTAGTAAATTAAATTGTACAGCCATGAAGTCAAATGATTTTATCATCATCCTCAAGGGGACCCATTTGGCACAAGCATGAATGAACCATTCTCTTTCTGGAAAAGTAACCTATCTTCATTGAAAAATCAAAGTCAATGCAAAATGTAGGAGCTGTTTTCTTCTCTGAGACATTAACCACTGTGTTTCCTCATCTCATGCTTTGGTGAGATAGAGCCTAGAGTTATAGGGGACATGAAAACTCCTGCACGTCCTCACCCTGTTTGCAAGCAAGAAGAATGGGAACAATAGAATGGGGACAAAGAAAATGAGGAAAATGCTCATTTAATTTTTTTAACTTTCATCTTTCTCTCTACCAGTCCCTGGTAAAGACTATACAATGTCCCTAGTATGAGAATATACAATGTCTAGGTGATAGGCTAATTCATAACTGGATAAAATAGGGTTCTGATCAATAGATGTAAAGAAATGGTGTTGTTGTTTCTTTTCCTTAGGAAAATTTGGCTTGAAAATGTTAACAAAGAAAAAGAACATTTTTGCTTCACTTCTTGGCCTGAACTCTCTATGGACGTGCCAGTTTCTTGCTCTGAACTGGTCCTTAACATTAGCAGGATCTCAGAATCTGAACTTGCTATCCTGAATCCAGGGCACTTCATGCCATCTAATGTATCCATAGAGAGGGCCCAAAGTTGTTAAATATAAAAGTCAACATTCAACTGGGGATGGGTGGGGTGAAGAGGCCTATGGGGTTTAAAAAAAAAAAAAGTATATGGAAAGGAAAGAGTGAAGTATTAGAAAGAAGATCTTGAGCCAAAGGATTTGGGATCCACTTTTGTAGTGATCGCTGACCAGGAGACATTGGCAAGTGATTTTCTTTGTAAAAAGGTTTTATCGTCACGAACTGAGGATAGTAATTTTGCTTTCAGAATACAGTGAGTAAGGTGAGAAATACCCTGTGCAGCTGTAGCTGTGACGTTGAAGTTTGGGTCTTTCAGCAGACTGGAGAGACACACCTCTTGGCTCTTGTCTTCCAGATCACTACATGCAGGTGCTGGTTTGTCAGCATGAATGTGTGAGGGAACTTGCCACCCGCCCTGGCCGTCTCTCACCAATTGAGAACTTTCTTCCTCTGCATTATGATTACCTGCAGTTTGCCTACTATCGAGGTAAAGCGTGGATCATCCGTGAAGACCTTTGGGGGTTTGTGGTTCATCATTACACTCATCACCTGTTTGTCATTTAGTCCTCTACCTTCTTCAGTTTATCATCAAAGCAATGGGTTTATGCAATTTCTCCTTCATCTCATATCACTGCGGCTCAGTACAAGAAGAGCAGAAGGTGAAACCACAAATGGAAAAAGGTCAAAATTTAATGCTGTGATCGTTTTGCAAAAATTATACGAGACTGGTGTTTTACATGATTTTAGACTTAATTTTAAACATGATTTAAAGCCCAAATACTGTAAAAGTTTTCCTCTCTTCTCTGTTCCTACAACCCAATTTCATGCCCTACGATCCAGTTTCTTATTTATCCTTCCAAAAATTTATGTAGAAACAACAAGCACACACACAAGTTTATTCCCCCTTCTTGTACACAGAAGGTAGCATACTATTTACACTATTCGCTAACATTGTTTTCTTCACTTCATAAACACGTCAGAGTGATTTTTGTAGGTTAGATTTATAAAATTACCATTTTGTTAGGTCAAAATCATCAAATTTTACCAATTGTGTATGACTCAACCTAATCATAGCAATACATAAAGATCTCCCTCATTCATTTTTCTTTATCTGTGCATAACATCGTACTATAACTTATTTCACGTATCTCTCTTCTGATGAGCAGTTGTATTGTTTGCAATCTTTTGCTATCACCATCAACATTCAAATGGATATCACTTCACATAGGTCATTTCACATCTGTACACAAATATCTACAAAATAAATATCTAGAAGTATAATTGCTATGTCAAATAGTTTATTCCTTTGTCATTATGATAAATGTAGCTAAATTTTTCTCCATATGGAGTAATATTTTTTGCTCAATAAAAGAATGTATAATTAAGTTTTTAGACATTCTCCAATTCTTTAGGTAAAGTTAATATCTCAATATAGTTTTAACTTGTCATTTATCTAATATATAGAGAGATGGAATGTTTTTTTCTTGTATTTAAAAGCAGTTAATAGTCTTAGATCCCATGTTGCCTAATGTCTTCATTTTGTAGAGAAGCAACTTTCTTAAAGTCACCTAGCTTAGTGACAGGTCATAATTCCTGGTTCGTCGCTCTTCTCATTATTTCTCACTAGTACTGGCATCTGGCTGCCTTGTATAGAGGCGAGTAGCAAAGAAAGTCTTTCCCTTTTAATAGAATAAGAAAAAGTCTCAAGTTAACATTTTAAAGCCACCTCGGCAAATTCTCTTCTTTCCCTAAAGCAAAATATTACTCATTATCCTGGAGCTCATGGCAAACAATAAATCATGTGCTCAAGTCATAAACAGTGAATGCAAAGGGGATGAGAGAGTTGCTTAATTTTTATCATTCTTTTTTAAAATCAGGGTCATCTTGGCATACATCTATCTGGAGTAGATTTACCTTGAAAGAAGTCCAATGTTGTGAACTATTTGAAAACAAAGCATACAGCATTTTAAAATTCCTCTTGAAATAGCGAAATAGTTCTGTAATAAAGAGTTCATAGGTGAAACATCCTTGTTAGTTGCTTCTTGTAGTTTGCTGCTGCTGAGGTTACTATAGATGTGTAGTGAAGGTTTGGAGAGGGTCCTCCTGAGCACTTGGGATTCTATGAAAGATTTGGCTTAAACATAGTAGTTTGCCACAAATTTTGCAGCAGAAAAAATAACATTTTAAAATCATCTGTATTCCTTGTACATTATGTACAAAATGATACTTCATTGTCATCCTCAAGATGTTTATTTAACCCAAACTCAGTATAAAAATCAGAATTAACTTGTACAATTCTGCTGTTTATCTGTATTAAATAATAAAATTGTCAACAAACATCTCCAGGTAGAAATTTCTGATAATTTATGCAAAACAACTAGCACCAAAGCAGACCAAAAGCAATACCTGTTGAATACCTGAAATCGTGTGTGTCCTTTTATCTGTGACTGTTTCTGTTTACTCTGCTTAGCCTCAATTTATCTTTCCTCTTATTGATGCTTAATGCTGACCTCTACAGCCATGTTGAAGTCTCTTTTTAAAATCCTCTGGGCAGACCTAGACTGATTCTAATGCTGCAACTCCTTGATCTTCTAGTTGGTGAATATGTGAAAGCCTTGGAGTGTGCCAAAGCCTATCTTCTGTGCCACCCAGATGATGAGGATGTCCTTGACAATGTGGATTACTATGAGAGCCTGTTGGATGATAGTATTGACCCAGCATCCATTGAGGCCAGAGAGGTGAGACCAATGTTCAGAGCTGAAACTATTTATTCTGCATGTGCTCTGGGGAGAGTTGATAAAAATGTATAACACTGCTTTGAAAGATATCTAACAATTTAGCAAAGGCACCAGAACTCAGTTCTCTCAGACTTTAATTATTCATTCCAAAATCATGAATACCTGCTAGCTTGTGAAAATCTTTTGAGATGGGGACATTTTTTGCTTGTCTGAATATTTCCATTAACTTTTTTTGTCACTATCTAATAAAAAATATTTCCACTTGAACATTGATCATATCTCTTACCTGCTATTGAAATAAAAACTTTCTTTCTTTACTTTTTTTTTTTTTCCCACTAGGATTTGACAATGTTTGTGAAACGTCATAAACTGGAATCTGAACTGATAAAATCAGCTGCAGAGGGTCTGGGATTTTCATACACTGAACCGGTAAGAGCAAAGGGGAAATGTTTATTTAAAAAAATAGTCAATGAAATTCCTACTTATATTTTTATTCCACGCCCCCATTTGTGGAAGACCCCAGTGACCTCCTTGAAGTAAAAATTGGAGGGTGAAAAATGTTTACTCAATATATGCGATTATTTGAACAGGTTTCCATATTACTGATGCAAAGTCAACAGCAAATATATTTGGCAGGAGTATTTTGTATGCAACTCATTTGCCCTGAGATTGTTTAATTTTCCCAGATTATGGATGTGGCATTTTCATTTTTCTCTTAATGTTTATGTATTACCTAAACATTAAAGAGGCTTCAAAAAGAACATCAGTCGCAATCCTGTCACTCGTCATGCTGACTTCACTCTTCTGTTGTTGTCTTCTAATTATTATTCATGTGGAGACTTACCTTTTGCAGAACTAGCACTATGATATAAATAGATTTATGTATTGATTTTTATTTAAGAAGATTCAATGAGCAATTTCTATATTTGTTTAGCTTTAAAAATTATGTCTCACTGTGTATGTAGAATTGATGAACAATAAATAAATGAACTCTTCTGCTGCTGGGCATTTGAATTATTTCCATTTTTTTTAAACCATACTTACTGCATTAAATATTTTTCTCTATTGAACTATAGCCTTAGAATAAACTTTCAAGAGTGGGATTATTCTGCTATCAAAAGATAAAAGGTTTTAAAGTTCTTGAAAGTAAATTGCTTTTCTAAGAGAGTTTTCTAATACCTTCACTGCTCCCAGTAATGTGTAAAAGTACCAGTTTACCACGAATTCATCAGCAATAAGATATAACATTTTAGCCGGGCTCGGTGGCTCAGCCTGTAATCCCGCGCCTTTGGGAGGCTGAGGTGAGTGGATTGCCTGAGCCCGCGGGTTCGAGATCCGCCTGGGCAACTTGGTGAGACCTCATCTCTACAATAAAATCAAAAATGAGCCGGGCATGGTAGCGTGCGCCTGTAGTTCCAGCTACTTGGAAGGCTGAGG